TTCCAAAACATTGTTTAGGGGATGCATACAATTTTGAGTCCAACACGAAGTAACAGAAAACAAATTCCCTACTGCAGTAAGGAAAGAAAATGTTGTTACAAGTTCTTTTGATCAGGTGGGCACTAATCGTCTAAAGAATAACCAATAGCCGAGCAAGCTATGGATCTCATTGTTTCTATGCGTGAGAGTTGATATTTGAAGCGCGTTCGGGGATTCGACTGGCTTTTCACGATTTCTCATTGAGGTCGATACTCCTGATCCCGTGTTATCCAGTCAATGAGAGTGTAACAGGAGTTGAAATAGAAAATCATTCAAAGGCGTTATATCCATTATACTATTACTGGAAAACGCTTAAAGTAGCTGGATATCGGGGTGAAATTTATTTTAATCGGAATAAATATCGGTGAGCAGTATAACTCATGTGGAATGATGCAGGAAATCACTAACATAATAATAGGATAATGTGAGACTCTCGGGTTCTCAAGCATACATGCACAAAACAGACAGTATGAGAACTCTTGTAAATACAATAATGACATCAGCACAAGTTTTTGGTTAGGGTGACAACAAGGTATTTAACAGAGACGGATTTGAGGATACTTTGATTAGTAAGTATAAGTTCAAAGAAATAATTTTCTGACGCAAAATAAGGAGAGCACAGCATTGCAATTATTGAGCTTAAGTACAAAAGATCAGAGCAGAGACAAATTACGAATGTCCTTAAGGCTGACCTGTAAAAGACTGACTGGACTAAGGGATAGGCAACAAACGAAAATATCGTCGATAAATGAGGTATCATCGGTAAGTAAGGCAATAAAAGTTCTGATAATGGGGAGATCCTGTATTTACATGGCAAAATTATATGAGGAGCAATAGATGTTAGGGGAAGACGATTGTGTGCCAATAGGAAATGTGAACCGGGTACTGCTGGGGTGGAAATCAATCTGCATACGTCAGATTAAAAATCACACTCAAAATGACTTTCAGTAAGTATACTTTACTCGGGAAGAAACCGAATGCTTTTGTGTAAGCAAGAAAGACGGATGCACCTGAGTGAAAAATATTGACAAACACGTTCTAAGTGAACAGATTGGGTTTGTAGGAAAACTCTAAAGGACCATGGGGTTACATTGGGATATCCTGCTCGGATTTATGTAACTCCAAAAATTAACGAATAATTATGTAGTTATGTTAGTTTATAAAGTTACAAATGCATAAAAACCCTTTCAGTTCGTGACGTTTTTAAGATGCCATGTCTGATCCGCAGTGATGAAGAATGTAAATCGATAACCAGAGGTGCACACGGAGTTGCCTTTTACTTCAAGCGAAAAAGCGATGTAATGCATGAGGGCACATGTGATCATGAATCAATGAGACTCATGGGATTCACCTGTACTCTGCTCGAAACCCATCAATTCACGTTGCTTCATTAGCCCACCTCCAGTTTGGTAACCTTTGCACACCGCATCATAACTACCTTCCGCTCTCATAGTCATTTAATTTGCACTTTCTGAATCCCCGCTTTGTTACGCCACCTTGCAGCTTTCGAATTAACTGTCCTGATCCGTTCATTGTCTAACATATTCTCGTAATCCATTATCTCCGCCGCACATGGAATGCGTATCCTTATAACTGTCGTCAATCGTTCAGCGCTTAACCCTAATACATCGACCCGGCATCTGTTCGGTACCCACCCACTATGCTTATCATACCGTCTTCACTGCTGTCACTCGTTCACTGCTCATTAATTTCTTTCAAACTCGACCCAAGTGCCATCACCCGCCTTGTGTGCTCAAATACCCCAGACACTCTCCTCGTGTCCGTTGTCTATCCTCTCACTTATACCGTGATTACGGTTGCCACCTGTAACGCCTCACCCATGCCCTTCCATCTCAGTCGTTGCTCCTCACTGCCCTTTAAATAGCATTGTATTCTAAGAGAGGGTATTCCTGGCAGTTTTGCCTTCGTCATATCGGACCGATTGTTTTGTCCAGACCGATTTACCCACGAAATTGATGTACGCTGTTTTATTTCCAATAATCCATGATTGATTACGCAACACTTCACGTAGATATCCCAGGCTTGTGTTCTGCCTCGGATTTGGGGTTTGGTATCTGCGAGTCACTCGATCATCGGTCACCAATCCGGCAAGGAGTTTGGCTGTTGTATCAAGAAAAAAGGAATTATTCAGTCCATACATTCGATCAAATAGCAGGATTGTATGTTGTTTTTCGGAATATCATGCCATCCTTTGTATACCTCGTCGAGCACTGATGACAGATATAACCAAGCTCGAAACACTTTCAATCGTACACAATGTGCAAATGCCTAGAGCAGATTGATCCTCCTGATTGTGCGTTTGAATTACCCTCAAATTATGAAGTACCGTGAGTACGTGATCTTACGAAACGTTGACTGACTAGACATATATTCCTAACCTTACATGTTCGCTCAGACTTCCAACAGGGATAAACTGGTAACAGATGAAACAAATGAAAGTTACATCAATGATCCTTTCGTAGATAATGCAGTAGCAGAAAAGAATATGTGATCTGTTCGGCTGAAAAGTAAATGTGTAGAATCGCTTACGAGTTCACGACATTGTGAAGGTTATTACCTCTTTCCATAATGAAACGCAAACGGATAGGTGAACCATTCGTCATGAAATTCCCTAATGCGGACTTCATAATACTCTCGACATGGTCGGGAAGGTACATGCGGCCTTTACCTGACTCTGTTCGTTCTTTCAAGATAACCCACAGTGTATATTATGGTTATGTCAGGTTCTCAGTTTAATTTGATATATTATCCACATGTGTTTATGAGTCAATATAGCTCAGTCTACTGTCGTATCCTCATTAAATAGAATCATTCAATAATACGAAGCGGATGCTTGTCTTTAAGATTTGTGTCGCCGCTTCGACTGGTTTACCAAATGGTATTTACACCTACCAAACATGACATTTTAAATGCAGTAGTTATGCGCGATTGGAGTACGTTCGAGCTATCACGCACACTGAAACTGCGTGCACTTGTTTTCTAAGTCTGGATATAAATCCCGCTGAGCAGCTGTGCATAAACTGACATGTTTTACGTCATCAGACCACATATGCATAGAAGAAGACATGCGACGCAATCGATGCACTTCAGAAAATGGCAACGTCTCAATGAAGAACAGGTTTCACACAAAAAGTTTTGCATGCTGATAGACGTCGGTACTCAAGTGGCAGCTGCCATCACAGAATGTAAGTGCACTGATTAAATGGCTGATTCTACTCCAACTTATATCACTATACAAGAGTCCACCGGAGTCATTTGATTTAAAATAACGGTTATTTTACATTTGTGCATCTCACCTTGCAAACTTATGATTGCAATTATTATTTACAGTGAATTACAGTAAATTACATCACAATTCGGTAAAACTATACATTTAACAAAACGAACGCAATCATTATGCTTCTTCATTTATTCCTTGCATCAAAATGACCTATTTCAGATTCGTCATCACACTGCTCTCGTTTTATGTGATTGTATTTTCAATGAGGTATAGTTGTAAGTCAACTAAAAACCCATGCATGGTTATTATCTGTCCCCACATATAATTCAGGGGATTCAGATTAGTCTTGACCTCAGTCAGTGTCAGAATGTAAAACAAACGTATCTGGAAACGCCTTATCACATTTAAGAAATGTTCAAATTTTACAATATTATCCTACACTTCTATAAATACAGTCAAATAGAAAGACTGCACACAAAAGGCATCCATAGGTTTGGTTCCGATACAACGAACGTCAAAGATATTTGTTTTAAATGCCACATAATTCACATTATCTGTCAGGACACTTTGTTACGCAGCAGAGCGACTTTGTTCATAAATATCGCGGAGCAGAAAAACCGGAGATGTGAACATAATGGTAAAAGAGACTTAATGAGACAACAGCTTGTGCGGATTTTCATCAACATCTGAGGGTAATCTTAAAGATTGATCATTTGCAAGCGTAACCAATCACCACTTAGAAGTAGTATTAGCTAAACCAAAGTTTCATAATATGCGTCTTTACAGCAACTAAATAGTAAGGGATTTTGTATTTTATTTGTTGTAGGCGTACTTCAGTGAATAACTCCACGGACGATGCCACCTGACGATTTGAAAAACAATTTGCTGGTATTGTGCAAGCCTTATAGACGAAAGCAACCTTCGTTGGGATGAAAGATGATATTTCTGAAAAATTAGCGTTCCTCAAATTTTGAAGTAAACGTTGGTTTACTTAAACGGTTATTCTTTCTGTGAAAAAACAACATTTCCATATAACAAATTTTAAGATTTTATTGTTGTACTAACTGTATTATCTTATAAACGTCACAACATGAAGCTATCCTGAATATTCTTTTACTGGAAAGTGCTTGTTGATGTCGATAGATGTAACTGTCATCTCGGGGTAGCAATTAGCATTGAAGGCCACCGCTACCCCGCAAGTTACTTTTTCTATCAAGATGACAACCCGCGACCCACTTCAGATGCACTCAGCAGCGACTTTCACCGTATCACTAAAACTGATTCTTTCATGAAAACGGCAGAATCGATATGCGTCACATCCTACTTTGGCTATTGCGTTGGATGTATTTTCCCAGGAGGAAAATCTCGTGAACGTTTCATTTTTAATATCCACATATAGATGAGAAATCAGGAACATTTTTCATCGCCTAGTAGATATCCGAGGTTCAGTCAGTGTCTATGGATAACAAGTGTGGTACTGCGCATATTCGTGCTTTTAAAAACAATTTCCTATCTATTTGGAAGTTCCAAATAAATAAAATTCACGAATTCAGATTGGTCACCGTTTGCCGCTCTCAGATTTCGAATGAACCAAAAGACAGACTTCGTAAAAATAATGATGGAAATAAATCACCTGAAGAAGATTCATCACGGAACAACAAACAATGATTTATTAATTCAACAACAACCACCGTCAAGTAACTAAGTGTAAATATGTGTGTTACATGTACCAGTTGAGAGTGTACATGCCAACCAAAGGGCATGCAATGAGAAGTATTGTGGATGACATTAATTGGACACCAACATCTGAAATGGAATATTGACATATAAAATAAAGAAATATTACACGAGAGAACGTTCAAAGGACGAAAGTCATCTCAATGACGTTTTAAAATATTTTCTTGAGAAAACATTGCGGTTTATATCTGAACACTAGACTGCGGAATGAGTAATTCATCAACTCATAACCAATCACCAAGAAGAGCGTGAAAAAAACTAATGAAATGTTTCTTTGTAACCCACCGAGTTGGTAATATATCTTGAAGTTGGCCACATCTGTCTTTTCTGCGCTCTGTTCGCCGAATGTGACTGTCACATCTTTTCCGCCCGAGATGAAAGTGTTCTGTTGTTCTTTACCACAGACACGTGCCGTTTTGGTTTTATCCGCGTCGGTAACTGTGACACATTGGTTTTCATTTTTGGCCTGTGTGAAACACGGAAAATAAAAATAAATCCTATGTAGTCCACACCATTTTACTGTGTCAAAATTATAAAACCGATGTGGAACAGTGAAAACTCACATGAAGCGGTTAATTTCTCTTAAAGTGACAAATGTTTCAGGTGAAGTATCGACAAAGAAAACATCACGAAGATGATGAAAACATAGTGACTGTACGTTCCAGTGTTATCAGACACCTATGTTAACTTCCTGAGATGGTTTACCCTTCTTATTAATACAATTATTTAAATGTATACCGGTTTGAATTCACCCAACGAAATAATTCGTGTTTACCTCGACTATCATTTATCATGACCGGTGGGACATATCAGACGAGGCAGTGCTTGGTTCAAGTCGCAACGTAATCACATTTCTAAGTTGTTTATGTTTGCATTCGAAGATTATTCAAGTAGAGTTATACCGCAAATGCACTTATTTCAGGCACAACAAGTTATGACCGAATTCGTACCGAATCAACATCCAACGTCACACGTATCTTTTTCCCACCAGTCGTCGGAAGACTCCAGGCACATAACAAACCAGCCGGGATGACGTCTACGGATTTCGCCACACTGAACGATTGGGTTTTATCCGTCGGTGGATTGGGAGTATCGGCACATCTGTTGTCATTCACTGAAAACATAAATTGCGAAGATGAAATAGAGATTGAGCAGACGAGATAAGTTAATTCGTGTACTCAGTTTGCGCGTAAATCATTAGTTGACTCATGATTCATAGTTATCTTGAATTTGTGATACTATATAACATGTATCACATTTGTGAATCTTAATCTGCTTTGTTACGTGTATGAAAAATTTAGATATCGCGATGTATCCTGGAGCCTGCCTATTGAGGACCTTTGCATCTTATGTTTCTGTTTTTGTGGCCTTTGTTGGGTCATTGTTCGTAACATGTTTCCATGAGTATTCTCAACTTTTCTTCAATCATGGTACAAAAATTTCGAGATCGTTGGGCAAACGGAAGTGCAAAAATTAATTTCAAATCATATAGTTTTCCACCTTCTGCATAAGTCTTGATTATAATTCCATGTTTAGGAATTCACCACAAAACTCATAATCTCAGGAATCATTTTACATACCTGCAGTTGGAGTTTTGTTTCATAGGAACAACAACATAAACAAATTATCGGTATATGGCTTTTGAAACTGCACCAGCCTCTTTTGCCTCAAGCGGAGAAACTCACCAAGTTGATAGTAAACTTTGAAGTTTTCCATTTCGCTACCAGCAGATCCACTCGGATTCTCAAATGTGACAATGACGGCCTTACTCACATCCGCGGTGAACACGTTTTTCCCTTCTTCCCCACAAATTTCCTGCGGGGTCGTACTGGATGTACTGTCGGCGTACGTAACTTTGACGCATCGCATTTGCCCATGCGGCTGCTGGAACAGTAAGGAAGGGAACTTTGTGAATACCGTAAACATTTGGTCTTAGCAAATAGCAATAATAAAGTGTGAAAGAGACCAGCACCATCTTTAAGTTGTTCGATCTAGGATATATATATATATATACATATATATATAAAAGAATGTGTATCTATATTGTGCGCGAAAAATCGAAAGGAGATTTTAATGCTGAATGGAAACATTATAGCCATTAAATCGGTTGATATCAACTTCTTATCAGCAGCTTGTCATGCGCTCAAAATCCATTGCCCTCGTTCAAAGTTTCTTGTTTGTATGATCCATTGGCCTCGCTCGAAGTGCCCCTTCTGTGGGAATAAAGGTAGCGCCCTAATGGCTGCAGTTCATCCCCTTCACGAGGGAAAATAGTCATGTATTGAATAACAGAACATAAGACGTTTATTACCAAGGATTATTTGTATATATGCAAATATATAATCCGTCTAAAGGTCACCCCGCACATATATCAAATCACCGCCTTCATAATTTGGTGATCATGCTGCCAGTAGTAAATCTGATAAATAAATCCCATGTATTCATAAATGATAATTCTTCATAGGGGTAAAACCAGAACACGATTCACTTGATAATGACATACCGAAATCACTTTTACACTTATTTGAAGACTTTTCCCTGTAGTCGACGGGAGATTCCACACACAGGCTGTTCCAGCAGCGATTTTACCTCCTGTAGATACATTAAAGACTGGATCTCCACCGTTGGTTTTGCTACACCCGTTGAGCATTCGGCATCATTCACTGAAAACAGATGGTAGAATGAAACAAAACGCAGAATAAGATGCTTCCCTTAATAACCAGCAAGCAGGCTCTTTTTGAGACCATGTGAAGAAATACTCACCCAATTGATAGAATAATTTTATCTCTTTCACCTCTTGATTTGAAGCCGGAAGAGACGGTTCAGAGGGTTTCCGAGTAACTATAACATACGCTTTTGCTTGCACGTTTTTTGCAGTTTTAGCGCACCATTCCTCGTTTTCTTTTGCTATACTGGGACCTTCTAACTTGACACAATCCTTTAAGACAAATACCACATAAAATCAAACTGATGTACCTCCGCGCTATCTTTGGGCCAAGACAATTGAATGGTTCTCCATGTGGTCGTAGTGATATTCCATTTGCAATCTGGAGCTGCTTCTTTGGGCAGAATGAGCTCTTTAGGAGCTTCATTTGCAACGAGATTTGTCTCACCACACTTCTTTATGTCCTCTATTTTGATTGCTCAGATTAAATCAGCTAAGTTTACCTGCAACACCATACACACTGGTAATTGTAATCAGCACAAAAAATGTTCGCAACATTTTCTTTTTCAAGTGATCCGCAGAGAGCAATATGCTCCAAGTAGTTATATATTGCTGACTACTAGGTGTGGCGGTAAAGTGCTCCACAAATTGTCAGCGTAATGCATATCTCAGGGTAGAGGTAACTATTTTTAATACTCGCATGATTGACACCAGGTTGTAAATAGTTATGGAATTTCGCGATGTGTTTTTTAGCAACCCTTATTTAAAAACATGTACTAAAGTTAAATTCTATCAATATAAACCAGCGAATTGTTTATTCAAAGCTCCTTTGAACTAGCGGTAATAAGTTCCACATTCTCTTTTCATTTGTAAAATATCTAACATTTCCCATGTCCTCTTCAATGCAAAGTTCTGAGACGGTGTATAAACAAGCATACAAAAACATTAGATTCGGTTTCAGCCTTAAATGATAAATATTTTTCAGTAGAAGTCAATTTTTTTATTCATCCGCAATATTAGGACGGAAGTGGGTCACAGGATATAAGGCATTTCATGATTCGTAAGATAATTTTATCGGTTATTCACCAGAGCAAACCAGACGACTAGGATAAGTCATAGGTGGTAACCTCAAACATACTTTAACTTCCACTGATGGCAAAGGAATGACTGCAATCAGTTCCTCACAAGATAAGTTTCAAGAATTCGAATATACCACTCAATTTGCCTCCAATTTGCAATGTTTGAGGTTGTTAATGATATTTAAACCATTTTCATGAAACCTCTGCAGGAACAACAACAATTCAATTTGCTTTAACTTTGTAACAGTTTCCAACAAAACCATACACATCCTTTTATTTGTCGACATGTCTACGCAGATGTTCACTGAGCCTAAGAACAGACGCTCAATGAACAGCATACACTATTCCAATTCAGTGATGAGTATGACTCAGGCGATTGAATCAGCATTACACTTCCGGGACACGCCTTATACTGATTGCATGATAGCGGAACGGAAGAAGAAGAAATCACAAGTGCATGAATTTAACGAATAGAGAAAAACAGTTGAAAAACAGTTGCAAACTATGAGGGTGATTGTGGTATATTTTTGACGTGCTCTCATTCAAATGGAGTATGTGATCCCATGTCAATTAGCTCGTACCAATATTTCCAAGCATAATTTTAACGATGACTCCAGTTTACAACCTGTAATCCGCACAATGTGACATATTTGCGCACCCTCTGTATGGATTCGGTTTCCTGTGTTTAATTCTGATGCGATACCTTACGATAGTATACATCTCTATCATACTGGAATCCTATTTTACGCTCCTAAGCACTTTCTGCATGGACTTTAGTGAGTTAGTCTCCGGAGTAGTACATCCGTGTGATATCGAGCATGTGTCTCATACTAGGCATCGGCAGTTTGCTTCTTCAATGCCTGTTTGTACAGTCTACCCCAAGCATGCAGTCGTCGCGTAACATGCAACGCTAGGAATAAAAAAACATGTCGGAGTAATCGTTCAGTGTTTTCCTGCATAAACAGTATGCTATGCTAGTAGAATCAGTGAGTAGGAACCCGTTTGTCGAAGGCCGCTTATAGGACCGTATCTGACAGCATATATCTGATCGTCCACATGGAAGAACTCGGATCAGTAGTTGGTGTGTATTCAAGATTTATTCATTACAATTTGATCAGTATGCAGCTTTACCATCAGCTAGCTCAATACCACGCCTAAACATATCGGAATGCCATATGGTTCATCACTTCAAGTCCCGAGTCTTAGGTTACCGGGTGTCATCGTGAATCATCCAGTTAGAGTGAGTGTGAGGTCTACTCCACTCCGTCAGCTGTTCCCCATGCCACAGTGTGTAGTCAAGAGTGCATTTTGATACTAGAGTACACCAATCTCAAACGACCACTACACGATGCGTTGCAGATTCATCAAAACTGCTGTGGTTTCCTCCATCTATCTCAGACAACCAGAAAGGATAACCACAAATTGGTGTACATCTACCGCAAGGCTTTCATTTGTGTTTGGAGCATTGTTTTTGCGTGGAATACACACTTTCATAAATAATTCGTTTATTCCTCAGCAAATCGTGGTATCAAATTTCACCTTCCATTGGCACGTTTGAAATAAGTAATGTATTTGTTCCGCTAATCAGAATACTTTCATTCTCACTCACATTCTTACTTAGAAACCGGGTAAAAGTGACATTCTTGCATGGCTGAATGCAGGTCACCGTTGATCCTTTGTAATGTACTGTACTTATGATATTTCCATTTTCCGGAGTAAAAAGCATTTACTAGTTCACGAGATACTGGCGTTTGTGAACAGACAATGATAAATTGCATCCAAGTTTACTCTTTCTCGATAACAAAAAACACGATATGTTCCAGATTTTTATAGGGCGCAGGTGCAACTGGTATCCCATCGTTTTAGCTCACTCGTTGAAAACCACTTATCTGACACAGAAAAGTACAACAAACTGGGGATTGGAACGTCCCCAAAGTGATTTTATTGTGTGACACATCTGAACGCGAAACATATGGTACATTTTTCGGGAGCTCTGATTATTAAAAAGGGAAAATCAGGCACACTAGGGCAATGTTATTACACTACACCATTTTGCAATCTGAATTCGATTGATACACTGATGCTACCGTGCTTTGTTGTTTGATGTGTATTTGTGAAAGTCTGCATTGTTTAGTTTTGTCTTCAAATACGTGCGGTTAAATACACTTCATTAGTGAATTCCGGTGAGTGCATACAACACACCATATCTTTACCGGTCCCTAAACAGGGAAAATGGTATGAGTGCATAAATTGCCCAAAAAACCCGGATTGTTCAATTCTTGCACATATACTGTCTTCATCTCTGTTGGTAGCCAATGTAGTCATTCAGTCTGCACTGCCAACACGTGCATTGTTTTTAAATATGTATTGTGTTTGACATTATTAACATGAATTTGAAGCAATATGAATTCTATAAGTGTCAGTAATTGCACGCATCACCGGGGTAGTTTTCTCAAATGTATGGTTTAATCATCCAGAACGACTTTTGCAGGACGCACTCAACTGATAGCAAGCCATAAATTACGCAGAAGTTCACCTGAAAAGGTCGACCAAAAATTGATAAGAAAGGGGATCTAATGGGAAAATCAGTTCAATGTGTCCTGTACACTAATAGCTGGAAATCAAGTATTCGGGCATATCGCCTGCCTAATGAGGAGTCACAACTCTGTCATTTGAGCACAGTAATCCATGAGGCGTAATGGAAAGCTCATCACGCCAGTTGATCAACTATTGCAGGAAGAGCACAAGTCCTATGCGATTGTGTGTGACAACGCACCCTGTCATTCTAAACTTGAAAACGTCTTTTCCGGAAGAAGAGTGAGCATTCTTAGACTTGCTCCGTATTCTCCAGCCTTGAATCCGATAGAAATGATATGGAGCATTACAAAATGTTATACCAAACGGAGCTCCGAAATCAGCGTGTAATGATTATGACGGGTGATCCCGATGGACGGATGAATCGACAGGACTGGACGATGGCATGTTTGGAGAGCATTGCTGGTGATGCCAAGTCTCATATCACGAAAGATCATTGTCAGCATGCGAATGAACATGTTCGTGTACATTTTCCGACAGCTATCAAAATGCTTGATTTTTAATACATTTGATCTTTGTCTAACCACTGAACATTTTGTGAATGGGAGATATAAGTCGGAATGTTCTATCATTATTGGAGTCCATAGGCCAGGTGCATTGGATAATTCGTAGACTTTAGGGCACATTTTCAATTACAGCGTGTTGGTTATCCACTTTGCGTTCGTTGATAATTTAATACAGAACCAGTCCCTCGGTAAGCAGTGCTTTCCAGGACACGTGGTGAAAGAAAAGTCGAGGCGGGAAGTTCATGCATCGTTAAAACCGAACGATCATGTAAAAACAGTAGNTTGAGATACTAATATAGTTTTCTCTACAGATAATCAGTAGTCTTAGTCACTCCATTTTTCATTTTAAGTTGTCCAGCAAAATGTTGACTGCGACCAGTTCGGATAGCTCACTCCACTGAAGAAAACCACGCCGTTTCTGGAAGCATATTGTAAGCTCCTCTCTAGCTGGTATATATAACGAAGTTTGAAAATTTGCTTCGTATGCCTTAATAGGAATTCCAAAGTTACTGCTTCGAAGTAACGTATAAATAAATCAAATCCATTTTTAATCAACCATTAATTTGTATGCATGTGTATCATGGTTTGCGAAGAGAAAATCACGGAACCAGTTTCAAATTGGTTTAGTGAGTTGTATTGTATTGCAACGAATCGTGCAGGCAACTGTACCTACATTCAAGCAAAACATATATAATCACTTTTGCAATGGGGAAAAATGACAATTCATATACAACTATGATTAAACGTCAGATTGGATAGCTTCAGAATTTCATTTTACAAAACGATATTGTTAATGCTAGCGATCAACCAATCTTTCAATTGCATGCCCAGTAAATTTCCATAATGACACTTAGCAGCTGGAGTGAGCAAATCCAGGATGAATTCACAGATGCCCTGATTCGGATTGCGTACTACTGAATAAACTTTTGCTCGCTCTGAGGCTTCAAAGTTCTTTGGCTCCACATGCTGTAGGAGGAGCGATTTTAAATCAGCGTACGGTACATAAACAGGTGGAGAAGGATAAGCCAAGTGTTTGATTAATGTGTAAGCATTTTTATCGGAAGCATTCAAAAAGAAAGCGGATTTCCTTTCCTCATCGGGCTTTGAACGGGTCAACCACCGAATCTCAAAACGTTCACAATAATCCTTGATATCGCGTGCACTGTAGTTGAGATCAAGGGATTCTAGTGTAGTAGAATTCATTGTTTAGTAGATCGGGCGCAACGCCAAATGCAGTGTTGTGAATAGTATTCGAAATGGGATTCCAGAATTCGCGCAATACCAATCCCCGAAATAGAACAACTTCGAGTAGAATAACACACGAACTTTATTCGA